CTTCTGTACCTTCCTCTCTCAAGGAAGGATGTTACCCTAAATCCAGTTGCCAGAAGTTCTTTTCCTTCCCAACATCTTCCAGACCCTGAGACTCTAAGTTGTCTTTTCCCACTAGTGAGGAAAAGAAAGCTGATCTGGAGGGATCCGGGGTGGTTTCTGACAGTATGACCAAAGAGAATCCGATTCAGGCTCCTGCACTTAGAAAACAAAAACACACCGCAGAGTTGACTGCATTCCTGGGTCCAAACTGACTTCTCCCCGGTTCCCTAGAATTTCTTATCTCTTTAGAGTGGGTGAGTACAGATGCCAGGCACCTGGGACTTTTGAGGTGAGTAAGAAATTTTCAATCAAAAGTGTTCCCTCAGGCCATGTCACAGCATCCTCATGGCCCTTTAAAAGACAGCATAAGTACAGACCGAGGAGAGGGACAGCTGGGTCAAATAGTGGTTCCATTCCCAGTTTTCCAAGAAATCTCCACACTKCTTTCCATATTAGCTACACCAATTTGCAGTCCCACCAGCAGTGTATGAGTGTACCTTTTCCCCCAAGTCCTCACCAACACTTACTGTTGTTTGTATTGTTAATAGTTGCCATTCTGGAGTTACCCAAAGGGCTTAAAAACATCATACTACAGGAACACAGCCACATCAATGTTTATAGCAGCACAATTCACAATAGCTAAACTGTGGAACCAACCTAGATAGATGTTCTTCAATAGATGAATGAATACAAAAAATGTGGCATATATACACAATGGAATATTACTCAGCATTAACAGAGAATAAAATCATGGCATTTGCAGGTAAATAGTTGGAGTTGGAGAAGATAATGCTAAATGAAGTTAGCCAATCCCCCAAAAAACCAAATGCTGAATATTTTCTCTGATATAAGGAGGCTGATTCATAGTGGGGTAGGGAGGGGGAGCATGGGAGGAATAGATGAACTTTAGATAGGGAAGAGGGGTGGGAGGGGAAGGTAAGGGGCATGGGGTTAAAAATGATGGTGGAATGTGATGGACATTATTATCCAAAGTGCATATATGAAGACACGATTTGGTRTGACTCTACTTTGTATACAACCAGAGATATGAAAAATTGTGCTCTATATGTGTAATAAGAATTGTAATGCACTCTGCTGTCACATATAAATAAAAAAAATAATTTTAAAAAAGCCAGCTTGAAATGAGAGGGGATGAAAGGCACAGTTTCTCTGACTACCTCCTCATTACGCTAGTCACATCATTATATTTTAAACCTGTGTCTTCCCATACCCAGAGCATCTTGGCTTCAAGTTTCCAGTGTTTGCTAAAGAAAAACAAGGAACAAGGGTAACTACATGTCCTCCGCCGCCAAACCTCACCACCCTCCTAAGCCAGCAGGGAGTGGGGTGCTTTGCTCTTCTGCAGGTACCTGCCTGTCGAATTCTTTCTGCTGGCTGCCCTGTGAGTATTTGCCTGGAAGGCAGCATCTCCTGTCAGTTACCTGTCTGTCAAAGCTGCTACTTCCTTCCCCAGGGTATTTTTCTGTACAAGCTGCCACTTTTCCTGACCAGTAAAAGTATCTGCTGGGCCAAACACCTTCTCCCCCTGAGCTCATTGTAAGCACGGAGGACCTGCTTGATCAGACTTGCAGAAAGCCTAGGCACAGATGGATTCATCTGGCAGCTATAGCAGGAGCAGAGATTTGGGACAGTCGATTCAGACAATGTCCCGGAGGAGGAGRAAAAAAATATCAAGAGACAAGTTCAGAAATGAAACCCAAGATGGAGGTGGCTTTCACCACGGCCTGCAAAGTCTGACACAGCTGGACCACAAAGCCTGGCTTCCCTGGTGCTGCTGCTTCTGAGCCATTCAACACCTTCCACTTGTGGTCCCAGTTCTATATTCATGTGGTTTAAGGCAAGTCTCATAAAGGTCCCCACATGCCCCTTACGAATAGTTAGCTGCAAAAGAAAGTTTTCCCAAACTGAAGGGAGTCTGCTTTGGGAAGAGAACCTATCTGGGTTCCCCCCTCCACACACACATTAAGTTTGGGAGTCAGCAGACCTGCAATGAAATCTTGGCTTTGCCACTTCCAGTTGTGAGACCAGAGAAAATCAGTACAATTATTTAAGCTTTAGCTTCTTATCTGAAGAATAGGATAATAATGCCCAGCTTCACAGGACCACTGGGTGATCAAAGGAATAATGCCAGTAATTCTTAGCACAGGGCCTGGCACCCAGTAGGTATACACTAGATGGCTGCTATCAATCTCCCCATCACTGGGAGGAAGTGGAGGCAGGCAGTGCTGCCTACTTGTAACTGAAATTAGCATGCCTGGGCCTGTGCTGCTGGTCCACGGCTGATTTCCCTGATCTGTGGGGTGAGAAGCTGCACTAAGAGCTTTGCTTTTCTTTCTGACAAGTGAGAATCATCATTGTTCCTTCCTCAGTAATCATAAGGAAAGGTACCTGCCTACTCGCCCCCTTGGAAGAAAGGCTCGCCACCTAAATACAAGGCTTCATTTGTAAAATTGGGGGAACAAAAATTAACTCCGTCCATCACAGTGACCATCTTCAGGCAACTTGTTCAGTTCTTTTCACCSACACTCAAGACACGTATGGTGTGTCAGTGACAAGGGGATTGGTCGCCAATGTGAAACCCACCTATAGAAAGCCACCTTGTTGTTCCCCTTTGGGGAGGAGAGCTAAGTTCCCCCGCCCCCACCCTCTTCTTTCATTGTCAAAGACCACCCACTGAAACTTGCTGGCAAATTGCCATAGTCCAGACTGGCTAAAGCCAGCCGCCCTGCAGCAGCCTCCACCTCTGCTACAGAAGCCTACAGAATGGAAAGCACCTGACTGGGGYCTGTCACCTGGAACTGACTCAGAGCCTTCACAGATGGCAGACCACCAAAGGACTCAAGGAAGGGGTGCAGGTGATTATTTCAGAGGCCTGTACATTGAATGATCCTGAGAATCTAACTCTTGTCTATAACTTAGCAGGTTTTTATACAATTTGTTCACTACCAAAAATTCATTCATAACGACAGGAGTAATCATCTCGGCCTTTATGTGATCTCACTTGACTGCCAGCATTAATAAATCCCCTTGACTTGGGCATAACTATGTAAGAAGGAAAAGCTACAGTAACTCCACTATAGTGTGGTAGTCATGAGGCAGAAAACAGAGAGACAGAGAAGTGGGAGAGATGATCTGTGAAATTATTAAGAGCAGTCTCTGCTTTCATAGAAAACCAGTAAACCCAGAACCCCCCAATTTTCCTCTCCAATTAACTATGACCCATACCTAATAAACCTACTGGGATTGTAATGTTAGGTAAGTAAAGACTAGTAAAGGCACTTGGCTTTGACTAATCTGGAAAAATATTGGCAGAACCAGGGAAGGTGGGGGAGGTTTTCTTTGAGAGTAAAGTTGCAGCCCAGGCTGGATGGGGGGCTCTGAGGCCAGGTAAGTCCACATACTTTCCTCCCCTACCTGGGGCTCCCAGCTCTTGTGATATTCACCTCTCAGCAACCCAGGAGGTTTTTTGAGCAAATGAAAAGCCCAGTGATTTTTATACCTCTAAAATAAGTTTCCCCTCACCTGCTACTCTGGGAATAATGTCAGAGTCAAGCAAATCTAATGGGGCCAATGGAATTCAAAGGTAAAAGGATGAATTCATACATGTGTTTCTAAGATTCTCAGTTAAAATCTGATATAAATGAGAAAGAAAGGAAAATCACTAATTTTTTCTTTTCCTCCTGAAAACTACTCAGTAACTGATTTTGGAAACAAGGCCAAAACCCAGATTTCTGAGATTCTGTATTTGATGCAGAGATTCTAAGTCTTAAGTTTCCTAAAATTAAACAAGTAACAACAACAAAGACATGACTTTGAAATCTCCTGTGTCTACCATACTTAAACCTATCATCCACCAAGGAAAAATGAATTTGCTGGAACAAAACAATGAACAATTCATACAAGCAGAGTAAAAAAACATTCGGTACTACCTGTCTGGCTCTAATTTTAAGATTTCCTGAGGTATTCTCTCCCCTCTCTCAAAAAGTCTTTCTTAACTGACCCACTGCAAGTATTTGCATTTCACTTCCCATGAGCAATAGAATTCTGGATGCCCATGTGGCTCTGGTATTGATTCCTGCCAGTCTAAGCCATGATGCCAGGCACATAGCAGGTACTCAATAAAAGCCTGTTGAAAGAATGAAGACTCCAACCTACACACACTTCATCACCCTTGTCGTGTCCAATGTTGTCCAAACTCATTTTGGCAAAGAATAACATGCCTTTGCCCTACTTTCCACTGCTCAGCTCCTTTTGGGTTGTTTTTCTTCAACCCTACTTACCCTGTCCACATTGGCATTTTCCTGTTACTCACCAGGAGAACCAGTTGAGACTTTCTCAACATTTTCTCTGGCAACCAAATTAAGTTGACTACATATTACTGACTATAGTCTTTCTGCTATGATTTCCTCGTATTGCCCAATAATCCTGTCCCAAACATCAAAGGCCTTCTTTGAAAATAAGGCCAAATTTATCATTAGGAAAAGAGAAATTATTTCCTGGTTTCATTTCAGAAGACGCAAAGAAATGGAATCCCTCTGGTTTTTGTGAGATAAACAATGCCCAGTACATGAGACCACAAGGCATTTGCTGTAAGACCACTGTCAGAGACGTAAACACTTGGCTTTCCTCACCCAGACCTGAGCAGGACTTTTCCACAGTGAGCTTAGATCYTGAATCTCACAGTTAGTGGTTTGTATCCAACAAGTCTGACAGAGTTTGCCTCAGGGCAATGGGAGGGYTCATGGAGCCAACACAGGCTTCGACTAAGAGTGTACTCGCCACTAGAACCAACCTGAAGGTTAGTCCAGATTCCACTCAAAGCTGGATTTTTTCAATATTAAAGGATGAGAARCACAATCTTCAAGTGATAACACAAAACAAGGGAAAAAATAGTTGATCTAATAGGATAGAGATTTCAGACTGTGAGCAGAAAACCTCACCTACTTCTTCTACTCCTTTGCTGCTACCCTCAGATGGTGTGAATGTTGACAAAACTTCATGGGTCATGGGTTCCAGGAAGCCTGAAACAGGACTGAGGAAAAAGAGAATTGTTTCATCTTTTGAACAATAAAATAAACAGTTCTGAAGTATTTGCTTTTTGTAAGGTGCATTGCTATAAACCATAGTAATTCCACATTAACCCCTTTTATGAATAAGAAAACAGAGGAAAAGCAATTCTTCTAAGATCACAGGCCTCCATCAATATCCAGTTACCTGGCTCCTTGCTAAAAGTGAAAACAGTGGATTAAGAACAATACTACATTTTACAAAACCATGAACTTTTCATCCGATAGTGTATTTTCATCAACACACCAAATACTTCAAAACACATTATAAACAGGCCTCATATATAAGTAGGCTTGTGTGGAAGGATTTAAGGTGCTGGGCAGCAGGCTCCTACTGAGGAAGAATTATCCTGAAGGAGGATGGAGTCTCATATAACAGGTTGAAAAATTTGGATTTTAAAACTGAGTAGTGACTTGATTGTGGGACTGATGGAGAATAGTGGACTGCTGGAGAATAGTGGAGTGCTGTTAGGTAGACAGTGGGAGCCCAACTACATGTCAGGAGCAATTGTCAAGGGCATCAATAAGCAGAGAGGAAGCAGGTCTGGAAAAGATGGTACAGATGGTGGAATTACAAAAGGAAGAACAGAAAAGACTGTGCCAGGTTGGGGAAGGAGTCTTAACTCTGCAGCAGTAGAGATGTAGGAACAGATTAATGTTTTGATTTGAGGTGGTGTAAACAGAGGTCAGAGGCAGAGCTTGGGCTTCAGAGGGATCCTATAAACCTCTTTCCTACATTCTACCTCCCCTTCTCTATCCATGACCAATCTGAAGGCTCCAAGGTGGCAAAAATCTTCTTGGGAAGGTTTATGGTAAACATAGACTTCTAGATTAAAACTAAACACCCTCTCCCATATCACTCTTCAATCCCAAATACTTGATTCAGGCTCATAAATTATGAAAATATTGCAAGTTGAAGTTCCCATGGGAGCATACTTAGGATTTGGCTCATTCCCACCAAAAGCAAATTGGTTGGATATATGTGTTCTCTGTGAGTCTTTGGTTCAAATGTAGATATTTTAGGGCTGTCTGATGACAAGAATCTACTTTTTAACATAACTATATAGAAGGTATATATGCACATGGATGAACAAAAACAAGTCATGCTATAGCATGGGGAGATTGTGGGTAGCTCTGTGTGTGTGTGTGTGTGTGTGTGTGTGTGTGTGTTGCAGGAGATTGAACCTAGGGCCTTGTGCATGCTAGGCAAGTGTTTGAACAAAGCTACAGCCCCAGCCTGTACATAACTGTGAATAACTTTAAAAACACTTTTATAATTAGTAGTAGATGTTTGTGCAATGAATAAAATTTGAAGGTAATCACTCTTTGATTAAGAAAACTTACTTTGTTGGGACAAGGAAGCTCCCAATTGGGTGTCTGATGCAMGATAAATATTTGTTAAACTGAAATATGGAGGTAACAAGAAATTACTTATGTTAAAGTAGATAAATTTTTTTTTAAATGGGAAAATCACTATCTTTCCTCTCCCTCCCCAATTTCCATTCTAGTCCCAGATTGCAAGGAGGTTTAAAGTTTGGAGGGAAGAAAGCAAACTGCAGTGTATAATATCTTTTGGAGCCAGGTTAATACTTCTTTATTCAGGGGTCACAAAGTACTGGACAGAAATTATCCAGCACACATGGGTCTTCAGTTAAGTTTTGAAAGGCAGAGAGAGAAACCTTTAATTCATTAAGCATGTCAGTGACAGCTGAAATTTGAACCTAGACCCCCTAGGGCCCTTGGAACACTGATCATCAGGCTCACTTCTTGCCCTCCTTTCTTAAACCCCAGGGGTCTTTGGGGAAGTCAACTGAATTATTTCATGAGTAAAATCTCCTATTCATCCCTAGGCTATGGAAACCACAAACAGTTGTTGAAGAGAGAGGGGATCCCAAGCACTTGAAAAAGTACTTCAAAAAAAGTAAAATATCTGGGTCCATTTGGAGGCAGGCATTGCAGTATGGAAAGAAACATAAATCACACTCCTTATCGTGATTGACTGATAATTAGCACCTAAGCAGGTTTTTCCCCCCTCACACCCATCTCCCCATTTGCTGTCAAAGGACCTATTATATGAGCCTCTACCAATTAACCCTCCCAAGTAAAGCCAGATCCCAGAAGCTTGGGCAATATCTCTTGAGTGAACTTCTCCTGCAATGTTGCTCTGCTGAGAAACCTTGAAAGAGAATAAAAGGGGACGTCTGTACTGCTTCTGGCCTCCTGAGGGCCAAATTCTGAGTAATATATTTCCATGAGGGAGGATGGTGTCAGCAAAGAGGCCTAAGGAGGGAATTCTGGCTTCTTTCATTTTTTGTATAAACTTATTCCAAAAACTCATCTGGAAGGAAAATCTTAACCCCACTGCTATTTCTACCCGCCTCTGTCCCGCTGACCCCAAGGTGCTTCAAGAGTAYCATGGGAACCCTCTGGGTCTCAATTATGAGGCCATTAAAAAGTGCCAATTATAAGACCTCAGAAATGTCCCTGGGAAACCTGTTACACACCTCAAAATGGCCAACCTCTTGCCTCAGATTCACTTTAAGTTCAGAAAACAGGTCATCCAGATGTATGGGTGCCCCAGCCCCCACCTGGGTCCAACAAGACTGTGCGTTAGTATTTTCCATGTTGCCCTTGAGAACATGGAGATAGATTTATTAGCTGTAACCAAAGGGCTAAAAAGGCCATCACAGAGTGGTGCTGCCTGTTCAGAACCCAGTAGTGGCATAAATTAGAAATGTTTACACATTCAAGAATGTTAAAAACCACGTTCATTTAAGGGTCTATGCTTGCAGAGTTCCGGGCAAAAAGAGCTAAGTGACAAATGTGGGCTTGGTACAGGGCATTTGGAGGTGGGACAAGGGCTTGCAACCAAATATACTTTTCACTTAGTCTACTCAAAGAGGTAACTCTGAGTCAAAAACTTATGTGAACCCATTTGAGTTTGCAGGGAAGAGATGGGGGGAGCTGCAGAACACCCACCACACCCAGAAAGTGCCTGTTTGGGATTGCTGGTGTGTGGTTTGGGTATTCTTAGCTCTAACTGCCACATCTCTGGAGGAATACAACTCGTGTTTCAAGGGACTCTGCCTCTGCCACCCCAAAACACAACTAAACAAAACCATCTCTAAGACTCCTGAAATCCTTCCAGGTCTGCCTGACTCGCACCTCTCAAAGTTCTTCTATTGCCTGGAAAAGCAAACTAAACTGAGTATCTGAAAGTCAAGCAGGCCCTTCAAGAATCCAGCAGAAGATTCTTCCTGAGTTCCTGGCCCTCCTCGCAGCTCTTTCCCACTTGTCCTAGAGATTCATGCCCCCACCTTCTTGCAGTTACATAAATAAAAACCCCAGGAGTACCCTGCGGGCGCCAACACACACACACACACATACACACACACAGGCGGGCGGGCACTCACACACAGGCGCGCGCGGACACACACACACACACACACACACACACACACACACACACTCTTACAAATGCCTCAGTCTCACAGACACTTCTGGACACCACTTTAGCCTCTCCCCTTCTACCACTCCTGTTAGGGGATCTTTTCTGAGGCTGTTTGGGTTCGCTCAGTCCATCATTTTAGTATTTTCCTTTTAAAATGTCAAGGGTGATAACCTCGCCCCCGGAGTCCAAGCGCGCATTGAGTGGTTCTGTGCATCTGCTGACACCGTGTGGGATTCTCCCCCACGGTCCGGCCGGGGACCCGGGCGCTGGGTGTCAGCCTTCAGGGCAAGTCTGGGAGGCGGTCTGGGCCCTCCTTTTACCCGGGAAGCTTCCGGGAACCACGACCCGGCCAAGGAACCTGAAAGCACCGGCCGGGGAAACCGGCGCGGCATCCTGGCCCCGGCTGCCCTCCGGGCCCAGCTTGTGGGTCCAGCGCCTGGCGCGCCCCGCCGGCCGAGTCCCCAGCCCCAACCCTAGCCCGCAGCCGAGCGCTCAGAGCCGGCGCCAGCCGCCGCGCATCCACCACAGCCACTCGCCCGCGCTCGCTGGGCGTCCGCCGGCCTGCGGCTGCCTCCAGCCCCCTCCTCTCCCCAAACCAACAAACATATACAACTTTTTATGAAAAGAAAACAAACTTCAGAGACGTGACTCACCTCTGGTGCAGCCGCAGCCTGGGAAGGGTGAGCCGAAGCCCCGGTGTCAGCGTGGTGGGCGCGGAGAGAGCCACACAGCGCCGCGCTGCACAGACACACAACACGCACTGTGACACCCGGGGACACACAACACGGGAGAGCGGCCGCAGCCGGAGCAACAAAGGAGCCTCGGACCGAGAAGCTGCCGGCCGGGGTGGGAAGCGCGTGTGGCTGAGGGTGTGTGTGCCGTGTGTGTGTGTGTGTGTGTGTGTGTGTGTGTGTGTGAGTGCGGTGCGTACGCGGCGGCTGACACTAGCTAGCCGGGGCTCAGGGTCCCTGCTGCAGGAAGCCGGGGCCGCGGCGGAGGCGGCAGCAGCAGGAGGACGAGGCAGGGGACGCCGCGCCCAGCGCACCCGACCCCTCCATATGGAAGAAGCTTTTTTGGATGACTGAACTCGCAAACAATTCCTTCTTTTGCTTCTCCTGCCTAGGAGCCTCCCATTACCGCGGGAGGAGGGGAGGGGGGAGCRGAGGAGGCGGGGAGGAGGGGGAGGAGCGAAACCAAGCAAAGAAAAAGTCTTGGAAAGGAAGCTGGGGAAAAAAAAAAAAAATCCACACAGTCCCCCAAACTCCAGTCCCCCCACCCAACACCCACTCTCCGTTGTTCGTTGGACCCGCGCTCATTTCTAGCTTCTTTTTCTTTCCCGTGCAAAAAGCAATGCCCTGTGCTCCAGGGGCTCTCTTGACCCTCTTTAGCTTCACCTCGGACCCTTCCTCTCTGGACACTATACTTCCCTCCTGTAGCCCAGTCTGTTCTCCCCTAGCCCTTTTCTGCCACCCACTTCTCAATTGCTTTCTTCGTTCTGCAATCTATTAAATAAACCAGTAAAAGCAAACTTAATATTATTAARGGAGCTACCTCCCCACCTCTCAAAAAAGTGGGTCAGGGGCAGTGGAAAAGATGATAAGGGAAGCCCCAAGGCGGCCTCCCCAACCCACTCGGTGGGCTAGGGAGGGTTTGCCGCGTCCTCAGTTGACAGCTCCCTGACCTCCATTCATCATCCCAGATGTAGGAGCCAGGACAAGCGGTGGGGGCTGGTTAGTAGCCACAGAGAGAAGTTTGTTGCCTCTGTGTGTGTATTGGGTAGAAAACAGCATAAGTTCTTAAACTTGGGCTGTAACAGAACTCCTTGGAATGTTTTTGTTGTTGTTGGGGTTTTGTTTGTTTGTTTTGTTTTGTTTTACAATGCAGATTGCTGGGGCCCTCCTCCCGTTTCTGATTTAGTAGCCCTCTCTGCCAGAGTTTACCTTTCTAATAAATTCTCAGGTGATGCTGATGCCGCAGGTCCATGGCCACACATTAAAAGCCACTCTTCCAGATTATTCAGAAGTCAAACAAATGCTGCGTTGATGGCAAGTTGGTGTTCTAATTTAGAGATGAAGCTGTTTCATAGATAGTGAAGAATCATTATTCCAACACCCTCACGTTGCCACTGAGAAAACCAAGACCTGGAAGTTAAGCCATTTGTTCAAAACAACCCAGAGTGCAGTGCCAAGGTGAAGGAGGTGCTGCCTCTCCTCTGTGGCAGGATAGCAGCACAGGGATTCAAGGAACCACTGTGTGACTTTGAGAAAGTCACTTAACCTTTCTGGATTATGGGTTTGTTTACTTTCATCAGTAAAAATAAATATTTTATACTGATTATTTGATTCTGTTTGAATCGGAACCAAAAAATATCTAAAAAGGCAACTAAAATGTTTTCTATTCCCTATTTTGCACTTTTTTTTTTTTCTCCTGCATTTCAGTTAGGTAGGAGCCTATTTTCCTATTGACTTATTTGGTACTTTCAGCTCTGTGTGGCTGGATTCTTGGGCATGTCCTGGGGGCAAAATGGATCAAGTGCATGACCCATTTTCAATAAGGTGAGAAGATTCTAAATTCCCTCTTTGAAACTTCCATCTACACTCCCCTCTTTTCTTTTTTAATTTTTAGAACTCTCCCAGAACATTCTTAAAGGCCTATTTATCTCCTTGTTCAATGGCAATGTTAGCTTTCACCTTCTCATTACCCTCCTTCTGAGGTACAATTCAGGACTAAGAAGTCTGAGGACCATGGGGTACATGACTCTTAATTCCCTCAAGGAATCGAGTTAGCTAATCTACCACTGTAGTGAAACTGCCTTCCACAGACCCACAGGCAGGATATCCAGCTTTGTATTTCAAAGATGGTTTCCAAGTACGACTCATGTTGGTGATGGTGAGATTCCAATGAGAACAAGATGTGTGAGGTTCTCAAATTGATTTTTCTGTATTCCTATTTTTCCTACCCTTTCATGTTGTCTTTCTCCTAGGACTCTCCGTACCCAACACTCCAGTCTTTGGGTTCACACAGCCCTGGGTTCTAAACCAAAGCTTCAGTCTTTATCAACACTATTTAGCAAGAAGAATGACCGCGACCTTGTATTTCCCTTAGCCAGGCTGATCACTGTGGCTATTACTGGCCATCAGAATGGTTTAGATAGAATGCATATCACAGCTTAATGGAGAGGAGTTAATTCTGCTGTAGCATCAAGTACACTGTTGGCATGTCGGTGATGTTTATTACTTTTAATTTTAATATGCATTATTTGTGATTGTGTTTATTATGAATTATTATTAATACTTCCACAGATGCAGTGTGTCTTTGAACTCTCTCCCCATTCTCCTCTGCCTGGACCCTGTTCCTTGCCTAATTCTCCCTTCCTCTCTAGATGAGTTTCCCTATCCTAATCCACCCTGCTCCACTCCAGTGTTCCAACCATCTTAAAACATTTAGATGGACTGAGTGAGGTGCTTTTTGCCTTTCTTCATTATGTTAATGGTGATTCACCACTGGTATCTTTCTTGGCGGGGAGGTGCTTTATGGGCATCCACCAAGAAGAAAGTGTTTAGTTTAGAAATGATCACATTGATTTATTAAGCTGGAAGGGTGAGTGAGGAGAAGAATGGGCAGGGACTGTAAATCTACACAAGTCACCATGTCATTAGGCTATGCAAAATGAACTGGAAGGTATTCAGTGAGGAACATTAAAAGATATTACCCYCTCCTCAGTGTGCTGCACCCTCCCCACCACCATATCATATAAACAGCTATCTCCTTGGATGGGAAGAGTATCTGGAGAAGATAGTGCTGACAAAATTGCTAAGGTCAAAGACAAAGTGGCATAGAGAATTGGTTTTCTCTATGTTTTAATATAAATCAATTTTCCTAAATATTAAATGTGTTCACTGAAGAATAAAGAAAAACACAAATAAAGGGAAATCACATTAAGCCTACTACCCAGGAATAATTCTGTTAACATAGTAGAGTGCTTTTTTCTAATCATTTTTCTTGCTTTTGTTTCTCCTGGATATAAATACATACTTTTTGTACACTGAGTGATTGTAATATAATCAGAGTTGGAAGACACTTAAGGACATCACAAACAAGGCATGCTTATTCAATATTTGTACTATTTTCTGCTCTTATGCATTTAGTAATTCAGGCAGAAGCCAGTCTCTTCGTTGATTTATCTGACACTTTTCATATTTTGCAAATTTAGGTTCATTGTACACATAGGTTGTTTTTTAACATTCTAAAATCTAAAGATATGTCCCTTGTTAGATTCTAATGTGATTATTTTCCTTGTCACTGAATATTCTTCAAAGTGCGACTTTAACAGTTGTGTACTGTTTCATCAAAGAGAGATGTTTACTCAATCATTCTTCTATTGCCATATATTTGGATTGTTTTTATTTTTATTATTATCCTGCATTGCAGTCAGCTAAACATCTTATCATAAATATTATTTCCTAAGGGTGAATTCCTATGAGTTAGAGTCTTGGATCAATGAATAGGATATAACATTTTAAATTTTAAAGGCTTTTGGTTGATAATATAAAACTGTCCTCCTGGGGTTCCAACGGACATTTTCATCTCTTAGATTATTTTAATCAAAAGCAACAATGAGATCATCAAACACAAGGAACCAAGTGGAGACTTGATTGAGTTAACCAGTTTGGATGATTACACTTACCAGTTCAAGAAGACAACTGCCAGATATTCATTAGAAGATAGTACTTAAGTGGGAAGAGTGGAACAATAGGTGCTTACCATGTGAACTCAGTTATATTTATGATATTATTTAATCTATCCAACAATCCTTTGAGAAATAAGCTGTTTGAGCACCTTCCTCTCCCAGCCTCTTTGCTGGGTTCTGTGTATACTTTTAGTTTTGAATTCCCACAACAACCCTTTGATGTAGATTCAATTATCTCCATCTTATAGATAAGGAAAATTATGTAATTTGCCTAAGATCCCTGACAACTAAGTGATGATTCTAATTCCAAACAGTGCAACACACTATTTTCTCATAACTATTTCATGAGTTATAGGCTACCCCTTGGAATAAGAAAGGCACATTTTAGAAGATGACTGAATTTGGCAAGCCTTTAAGAAATCTTTTATGTGTTTTCCAAAGAGTGCTTTTTTTTTTTTTTAAAGGAGCATCCAAGTGTAGTCAAAGAGCTAAGGTAACTTACTAATTGTAACTAATGTAAGAGTTTAAGGATTGTATACCATAAGAGAATAGAGTTCTAATGTATGAATTAAGATTAAAGACTAGATACTAAAATTCACAGTACTAACAGTAATTAGTAAATTGGCTTTTGTATACATTCCTATTCTCAAAGCTAATGTTTGAGTACAGATGTTTCATCTTGATAAGAGGTACTAGAAATAAAATATTCATGAACCCAACATCCTTACTTAAAATTCTGGCTATTGACTACAAAAAATTTTATTTTAAATTTATCAATTCATTTTTGAAATGAACGCACAACTTAATTCATTAATTTAGAGTTAGTAAAATCAGCCCCCATTTGCTCTTTAGCAGGTCATTAACTAGTTATGTGAGCTGGCCTATTTCTCCAGGCTGGGAACCACAAAGGCTACTGGACAAACTATGTGCCAGTCATTCTAAAATATTTCTTGTCTGAATGAAAGTCTAAGATTGACCGATGCAGAACAATTAGTAACCAATGCAAGAGAGCATATAATTAAAGCTTAAATTGCAGGGTTCAGGCAGAATTACACGTGAGCCTGGCCCAATGCCATCTATTCCTCATACAAGTTGAGCTTCCTGGGACTGAATTCTGTAGCCCTGGGTTGCTAACTCAGGGTTCCTTTTAGCCATGTCCTCTGTTGACCTTGAAAGATTATTCTTCAGATCTCCACAAGGCTGCCTATGGACAGGCGTACCAAGAGGGAGGGTGAAAAGCAGCCAAAAGGAGTACACTGAATCAAGACAAATCTGGGTTTGAATCAAGTGTTAAATAACCTGTGCAAGTTTGGGTGGATTACTGACCTCTTGGAAGCCAGTTTCTTCATCTGTGA